TATATATATATATATATATATATATATATATATTTGGAATAATACCTCATTGATCACTGTCGTTTTTTTTTTGTTAGAGTGTCATTAGCTTTCTTTTAAGTCCTCATTTTGCATATTATTTAAGGCAGTCATTACCCAATCTCTTCCCAATTATTTTGTTGGAGGGCAATAGGAGTGGGAGATAGAGCCTAATTGGTATCAAACTTACCTTGAGTTGTTATGTCATCATGCCACTTCGATGTTTTGATAACCCTTTGGATTCTATGATTGGGTATGCATATGTTAAGATGTTACTTCTTACCCTGCACAACTTGTTATTTTTTTCTATGTTAGAATATTAGAATGCTACTTTTTAGGGTGCTTTACATACATACCACCTTAATTTTCATTTATAATACCCTAAAATTTAATATTACATACATACCACTCAATTCTTCCCAATTATCGCATCTACTACTCTCATTACCCTTCTTTCGTTGATTGTTGTTACTGTATTTTCGATAGTCTTGACTTTCCGGCGAGCTCAAGAGGCAACAATGGGATGGCGACGTACAATGACCTCAATTGCTCCCATCTTTCATAGCTCTCAACAAAGAAGTTTGGCGGCAGGATTTAAGCAAAGTTTATCCTAAATTCTGTGAAACAGATAAAAAAATGGCATCTTTAAATCCTACAGGCTCTTAATCTCTTTTTTCCTCCATTTTACCTTAAACCCAGGATTTAGTAAATCTTGTTGGAAGATGGATTGACTGGATTTGGAAGAGTTGAAGCGTGCAAAGTCTGGTGGGTGGAAGGGGAAGAAATACGAGGGCTACCTTCCTCAATGGTTTCGGGCAAGAATGGAGTGCAAGAAAGAGAAAGATGGGAGTTTCAGAGGTCATTGTATGGTGTCATCCCATCGTTTGCCTTACAAGATCTCCGAAAAGTCGAGACTATCGAGATTACAGTAACGACAATTGATGAAAGGGTAAAGAGAGTGTTAGATACGAAATTTGGGAAGATGGGAAGAATTGAGTGGTATGTTGTAATATTAAAGTTTAGGGTGTTAGATATGAAATTAATAAGGATTGGTTGGTATTTATGTAAATCCCTCTACCTTTTAATGTATTAATAGGTTAGTATATTGATATGTTATTTCTTATCATATATTTTAAGCTTAGTACAATAGTTCTTTTGTGCAATTTATTAATTTTGAGGTTTCATCCCACGCTTCAAATTTTAATTGTGCAATTTAAATCTTGCCTGTGATGTAATAAACTAGTAATCAATGCAACAAACATACAAAATTAGCATGACAAGCTATTAATCCAAAATGACGAGCTACTACTTTTAATGAAGATAAGAAAATAATAGAATCCAATTTTGACAATAGATCTTTGGCCTTATATTAGAAATTATGAGTAGAAAAATGAATCACAAAATCACAAAGAAAATTTTAGGCAATAAAAAAAATATCTATAATATCAGTAATTTGATTATACACAATTTTACTTCAAGAAAAAGTCAGCTTCCTTGGATTTCAAGCCCTGTAGTTGATCGATGAATTGTGTATCAAAAGGGAAAGTTTCGCCATTTTAAGAAAATTTTCTGCACGTAGAATTATTGCTTTACATACCTTGGAATCCTATTTATAATCATAAAATAAAATTGGATTATAGCTCTCAGATGGCAATCACTTAAGCATGTCTTTGCTGACTTTAGTAACAGATTGTGGAATTCCAGCAAGGAGCTACAAAAGAATTAAAAAAAAAATAGAGAACCACGATAAATTCACCCGGAAATTGGTACCAAAAGCAATGCCAATGAATCCACAAATTCCCCCTCTTGCAGCCATTCGGATCTCTGCTACAGTCACAGGTTGCAAGTGAAGCCTAGAACCTGTCTTCTACAATACCTGGAAGGTGTTGATGAGACGAGTTTTAGAAATAGACATGACTTGTCCTTTGGAATAGGAAAACCTAGGATTCACTGGAGTTGGCCCTGCATCCATTATACTTTGGTTTTGTGCTTTTAAGCAAGGCTTTGCAGTTTGAAAACTTTTTTTTTTTTGTAATTTTATTTTTTATTTTTATAATAAATCCAGCACCGATTTTCCATTGTGCCATTTAATAATGTAAGTTCTTCTCTATCTTATTATTCACCATATTCATTTTCTTTTCAATGGCTAACAGGAATTGCTTATGTTAGAGGAGGATATGAAAAATTTGGAGGAGATGTATCCTCAAGGAGAAAGGGTAGACAATAATTTTTAATTTGATTAGTTTTATGGAATCTTATTATCTGTTTTTTGAGATGTTTTGTATTTTATTGGCAGGCAGAGACTGCTTGGGCAATGACTGTCCTTGGCTATGTCGCAAAGCTTGTACTGGGGGTTGTTGGGTAAGTGTCAGGAAGCTATAGGTATTTTAGATCCTTATTAAAAATTCCCACTTAAAGAACATTACAAAAATAAATGTCCTCCTTCACCATAGCTTCACGTCGGATCTTCTGTTTTTTCAGTTGTGCATTATCATAACGTGATTACTTTAGGGAGTTGTAGTTTGTAACTGAAGGTTGATCAATTCCTGAGACATGGCTTTTATTTTGACGTTTTTTTTTTGTATGTATTGTTTGAGTTTAAAGGTATTTCATTTTTTCTTAAAATCGGCTAATCAGCAATGTTAGATGATTGAACTCTTTTGAATAATTATCCCATTTTTTCTGTAGCATACAACACTTTCCAGATTTTCTTTCACTTATTGACAGCTATTTTCAAGTTAATTTGATTCTTGTTTTTACATCCTTTTATATTACTTAACTGTGTCGTTTTAATTATGTGTATCTTCATTTATTTTGTTTTAGAAATTAAAACCAGGCACTTTTACTTCCAGATTAATTGTTTCAGTGGCGTGGCTTGTGCATATTGTGATATATTTGTTGATCGACCCACCTCTTTCTCCTTTCTTAAACCAAGTATTCATCAAGCTAGATGATCTCTGGGGTATGCTCTGCCTAACTCTCCCAGAAATTTAACCTTCGTTTTCTCTCCTCAAAATATTTGCTTAATGCCATATAGTATATTTTGTGGTCCAGGGCTGCTGGGTACTGTTGCATTTGCCTTTTTCTGCTTCTACCTTCTTATGGCTGTTGTAGCTGGAGCAATGATGCTTGGTTTGAGATTAGTTTTCATCACCATTCATCCAATGAAGTAAATGGCATCCTTCTTATGCGGTTCTGTTTAGCTTCACATCTTACTGTTTCCAGCCTAACTTCAATTTTGTTTCAGGTGGGGAGCAACCCTGATGAACTCTTTTCTCTTCAATGTTGGACTAATCCTTCTTTGCTCTATCAGGTGTGTATATTGAGCTATGTTGTTGATAATAACAGTTGCTTATTTAGATTCGTGCAAGTTTGTCCATTTCTCTCGTGTGGACTATGATTATGAACACGAAGAAAATGACAGATTTATGGAAAATAGCTTTTAGCACATGAACCTTGGGTATGGTCAGATTGTTGGATCCACTTAAGTTTAATGTTTTAGACTGTTAACTTGAGATTATTCGAAGATAAATTGGGTGGCTTTATCAATCTTACACTATTAAACTCACGCTTGAAGTTCCCAAGAAAAAGCAATTCTTGGCTGGTGAAATTCTATTTCTAATCCATGAATTTATGGTGGGTGGCTGTTGCAATCTTCCACTATTAAAATGACGCTTGAAGTTCTAAATAAAAAGCAATTCTTAGCTGATAAAATTCTAACTAATCCATGAATTTATGATAATAAATTTGAACTCTTTAAACCAGTGCCTTGATTTTCTATGTTTATTTAATGTTTCTATGCAGTTTTATATTTATCGTCATTATTAACCTTATCCCAACTATTTAGATCGGCTTTATGAATCTAATGTTTTCTTCTACTCGCATTGAGTGCTGCTTGAGGTGTTAAACATAAACATATGCTTTGCAAATCATATCAAACAACTTTTTATTTATTATTTTTATTATTCCATTCTCTTCTTAATCCTTCAATATTAGATTTTGTCTATCTGTTTAATAAAGTAATTTTCTAACCTATGTTGTACAAATCTAAATCAACTAGGTTTATTTTTGATTATATTGTCTTCAATAATTATTATTCTAATCATGACTCTAATATAATTATTATACATTTTACCTTCTTTTTTTTATGCATACATCTTAACATTTTCATTTTGGCACACTTAACATTGCGAACTATAATTTCTTTCAACATTTAGATTCATGTAGCATTATCGATCTTATTATAATTTTATAAAATTTATCTTAAATCTCTATGATATCATGTTATCATCACATAATATTGTGGATGCATTTTTTCATTTGAACCATCAAACCTTAATTACTGTAGTTATACCCTTTTTTATATCCTCGTTTTCTATCTTTTAATTTCAAGGTATTGAAACTTGTCACATCTGGTTATTAATTTATCTGTTAATGTTTGTATGCAGTTTTATATTTGTCATCATTATTAACCTTGTCCCAACTATTTGGATCGGCTTTATGAATCCAACATTTTCTTCTACTCCTATAGAGCGATAATTATTATCGTTTTACCCACTAAAATTTCATATTATTTATGTTGTTTTTGTTATATTGATTCGAAGCTCTCAATCATTTAAATATATATTTTTTGTTTGAATATATATATATATATTGTTTCTTCAACTGTTCATTTATTTCAACATATTATTAGAATTATATCACCCACAAAAAGTTATGTATTGAGGCACTTCATTTTTAATATTATTTTTTGGCATCTTTGTAGTAATATATAAATATGTGAATATAATTTTATCATAATTGATTACTCTACAATTATTTATAACACCAATCAATGTCATGTAGTACACATCTTTAATAATGTCAATGTACACATTCAATTCGCTTATTATTTGAATATTTTTTTTTTATATCAAGATCAATAAAAATCATATGAAATTCATTTTCCGCTCTTTATACTTTGAAGTTACTTTTTTTAAACATCAAAATCGCTTCCATAATCTTGTTTTTGCATGAAAACAAATTGATTTTCTAAATTTTTTGTAATTGTTTGGGTCATTGCTTTATTACTTTCAAGTTTTTATTGAATTTTTTTGTTAACCAAATCACTTTAGCATCCACTTAACTATCAAAATCTTGTCTCTCTTCTGGTTTAATTTTTTTATTGCATTTTTTTATCGAGTTAAGTTAATTTTCAATTTTATTATTAATCTATAATATATATTTTTATTTTGTTCATTTATTTTCCAAATAATTTTTTTCTTGAACATCTCATTTAATAATTTTAAAGTAGCAATTTTTCTTTCTTTGATGTCTTCATCTTTAATTAAGATTGTATTATGTTCTCACCTAAATAATGAAGTTTTTGCTTTCATTGAAGCATTTCAATTTCTTGTTATTTACTTTAGCTGATCTATATATCTTTCTTTCCTTTTTGTTATCATTTAGCTTATAATAAATCATCTGTAGATTTAGTTTTTTACTTTATGTTCACTATACACTTTACAAGTCTTTATCTTTCTATAATCATTAAAAATTTTAGAATTATTTATTTATTTTTACTCTTTAATTATGTGCTCTCTGTTACGAAATCATAGGCTATTGAGAAAATAAATATTACTTCTGCCATTGGGTTTCTACCTCAAATTTAGTACTACCATGAATTCCACAATGAGTTCTCTTATAACCTATCCTATGAAAGCCCATATGCACGTCTAAGCCACCTTTATTGTACACCCAAACACTACTTGAACCAGGTTTAATATTAGTCAACCAAGTCGGAAAGATCAATTTATTGAAGCCGCTAGAAACATTATCAAGCTGTCACCACCTTCTTGTCTTCCAAAGCTGTCCAGTCAAGTGTACTCGACTCTAGGGTCGAGTGTGAAAAGTTGCTCAAAATCAGAATGGCTACTCACTTATCTTTTCAAGGCTTGTTGTTCAAGAATTAAAGCTACTCACTAGAACTTGGTTGGCCCCAATGAAGTTGGTAGGTGACTTCGCTTGGAGTCATCTCTTATTTGAACTCAATATACTTTCTCCATGTAATCAAATAGCTTGTTGTATGCTATCTATGTTATTGAGGTGTCTTGAAGCATTTTCTTTGAAACACTTAAACTTATTGAAGTTCTTGAAGATGAATCCTCAAATTGCATCATCCAACAAAATTTACCTAGTCTAATAGCTTTATCTTCAATTCGCCCAGTGGATTAGACTTGCCTTCAACAAGTAGTACATAAATAATTCCACATGGAAAGGCAAATAAGCATCACCCATAGTTGGCAAGTGCATCATCTAGAGAAATCATTCAGTGGCCTCCAAAAAGTTAAGATCCTACACTTGAATTCATACTTGGGACAAACAATCCGCCGCTTGACTTCTAGTCAATGATAAACATTATTGATGGTATAAGATACTGATTATTCTTTACGTACCTTCATGGAGCCCCACTTAGTTCCTTCTCTCATTTTCTACTTGGAAATTACACTTTATCGAGTTCAGGAGGCAATTTGTCTCTTAGTTTACCAGCGCCCATAAGCCTTTGAAGAATTTTTATTGTTATTTTTTTTTAAGATGAGACTGGAGCAAGGCTAGTCATTGAGAAATTTTGTTGCGAGTCTTCATGTAAACAGTGTAAGACTAATTTTACTCTATGATGCGAGTCATAAGATGTTGAGTATGCTGAAATTTGAGTCGGGCTGAATAAACAATTGGGTTCTGTGTTTTGGTTTTTAAGTGTAAATTGTCTGTGAGATGTGGAATATAGTAATAGCATTTTAATTTTTAAACTTTTTTTATTAGAAATTTATATTCTTATTAATTATTCTTAGTACAAATTATATTTTTATTATTAATTATGTTTATAATTTTTTTTATCTTTTAATAGTTTAGTTATATTTAAAATGCATATATCTAGATTTATAGTACATTTTTAATTACAGGGACATTCAATACATATCACACAATTCTTATTTATTTACTTATTTAACACCTACACTTTGATATTTACATACATAACAATCAAATCTCTAGTATGACATAAAAATTACCACTATTATTTATTTTTTCAAGGTAAAATATTCATTTTCATGCATATGTTTATGACACTTAAGTGTTATAAGTGTAAATATCAAACTTTAGGCGTTGCATATGTAATCCATAAGAACTTAGTGGTATGAACTCAAAATTTCCTTAATTATATATTGTTTAGCTTTATATCCAGCTTAAAATTTACATTTATTGAATACATTATTAGTGTATACGTTTTATTTATTTTGTCTCATTTTTACATTATTGTATCATTTAAATCATATTAAAATAATGTTAACATTTATTACAACATTCGATTCATCCTCGGTTGAACCATTGAACCTTAAACCTCTCCTGCTTATTGACCTGCTTTGTTTTCACAACCTTGGGGAGTGCATCGATACTCAACTCTAGTTGACTTCATCATTGTCAATGCGTTAACAACAACCTGCTAATGCAATCTTTAGTTGATCTCACCTCAGCAGTTTTAGGGCACAATCTCTATGTCCCAAGTTGTTGAACAGTTTTCAATGGGAGGACAAGTCATCATTGTTCGAAGAATATTGTTGCAATTTAGAGCATGTTACTTGAAGACTTTTGTAAATATTTAGGAGGTTTTTGTAACTCTTGCGTTCTGAGGGTAGTTAGGTTTTGGACTTCAGAAGTAATAAAAAGAGTCTTATGTTTCTTGTAAAAGGTCAGAGCTGAATGCTATGATCATCATATCATTTGACAAGCAACACAGAGTTGATCTTATTAGTAGTCTCCTACAAAAAGTTGAAGTTTTTTCTTGGTTAGTTATTGAAATGTCAGGAGTAGATATAAATGTTGCATGTCATAGAATCAATATTGTAAAGTCATTCAGGCTCCATGTATTTTTAAAATGTTGCTAATATCTCTTAGAGATCTAATGCTATGATGTGATGAAATTTTGCTTTAAGTGGCAAGTCATTAATGTAGATTTCTGTGTTTTGGTTCTTTTTATATTTGAAAATGTTATCCATCTTGCATCAGTAAGCTGCACAATAGTTCTGAGTCTAAATGATGGGAGATTGCAATAGTAACCCATTATGGGGTACTGAACTGGGCCTTTTCACGATAAAAGAGACGGGCTTTTATTTGATGATAGCTTAAAAAAACATCAAGAAAGTTTATGATGGATATCCGATTCTTGAATTGCTTGGTGTGTCTATCTATAGAAGTGAGTTGCTGTCCAAACTGGAAAGGAAAACTTAGTTTGGATTCATAAAGTGGACACACTTTCTTTACTTTCCATTTGCATGT